GCGGTCAACTGATAACTAGGATTTAGATGGATCTGATTTCCAGCCCCACTCACCTATTGGGGGTTGTTACTTGACTCACTCTCCGATAGTCCCCCCCTTTTTTTTCTGACCTGCACGTTGTTTGTTACTGTGGAATGTAGTTGCTTGCTTCGAATTCCTTACCAGACACGTGCATATGAAGTGCCATTTCCAGGTGCCACCCACAGGCACTGGCTGTTATCGGATAATGATGTTTGCTGCTACTGTCGTCCCATACGGAGTGGTTAATGTCGTGGTGAACCTGACGACGCTCGAAGTCGCCGGCTTCTAGAGCCTATCGCGGAAGATTCCACTAGTGTATTCATAGACGTAGGTTGGCTCATTTGCGGAAAACCATACTGGTCCTCTCTGTGTCATGTAAACAGCACTAAGACTTAATCCTTGAACTGTTACTTAAGTCAGAATAATAACCACTTTGGGGAGACGAGCGCGAAATTAAACCGGGAAATATGATACTACTGTGAACCCGAACTATGGCTAGTAGTGAATTTGGTCTCGCGGTTGCTTGACTGCGTACTTGCTGCCGTCCTTTGAGGTTGGTACGTCGTCCATATGGTTCCTAGCGTCCATCTGTTTTCACAGCTTAGTCTGTAGTGTTGTTTTTCAAGGTTGTTTGCTGCTCATAAAGTGTTTCGTACATAGGTCTCCCCCTGTAGCCTTTGTGAATTCCACGCATATAACTGATGACTTACGTTGCTTTGCATGGTATAGGTTAGTTAGATCACATCCTGTTCGCACAAAAACTTTTGGTCATGAACCAGTAGAAGAAAACCGTGGTCTTTTGTTTGCGCTGATTTGGAAAGCTTGCTCTCGACGGCGAACTTGGCAGTACCACTTAATGCTCAGAAGATTTTTGGATCTAGTTCCGGCACTCGTGACCGGAGCATGTTTTTCTACCTTACACTTAAAATTCTCCGTTAAAATCATTAGCTGGCTTACTTATATCTGACATCTTTTCGTTGTCTTATCTCGCAGGGTTCTGATATTCCCATGCAGGCGGCCACTTCATGTTGTGCGGTTAAGCCCGGTGTTGGACCTCATTCCAACGCGCCCTTCTATCCTCTATACGGGGCTCCCGAATCGGGCTATGTCATAGACAATGGCCAATATTTTGAGGGCAGTCGCAACGCGTCGTCGGGCAATGACAGCAGTTCCTCCAGCAACCAGTACGATGATGACGAGAGTGAGGATGACGAGGAGTCGTCTGAAATCTTCCCGCGCGGAGTGGTTCGGCCTGCGGAGTATGATTTTTCTCATCGAAGCTTCGGCACCAACTCCTACGACATGTCTCCTCCGCTTCCACCGGTAGATCCGTTTGATATGCCCCTCACCGCGGACATGTCGCCAAGGCGGAAGAACATCCTGGCCTATGCTATGCAGGCGCTGGGCCCTGAAACCGTCTGGGCAGGTCTCTTAGCCAGCAAAAAACGCCAGCAACAACAAGTGGCTGATAGTGCAACGACAGTAGATCAAACGGAGACCAAATCGGGGGTTGTGACCAGTTCCGCGAATGGTGACCATTCTACTGCTCCCTCCACCGCCGGCTGTTGTAAGAATTCTGCCGACACGCCGCAGGTGCATGACGAAGAAGTTACTTCCGATAACAACTGTGCCAAAAAATCGGTTAACAAGGAAAACCAGTCGCATCCCCCCAGTGGTGTGGACAGCAATAACAACAGCGATCAGTCCATATCTGAACTGTCGGCCAACCACGTAACCATGATGCCAACACCAGCTGCCAGCGTTGATGCTCTTATTTAGTCCGCGTCT